TCCACACACACACAGCTCTGTGCACCTGCGGGTCTGGACCCGACTGGTTATTTTGGTTTCTCCAGCTGCTGTTGTACTGACACATTGTTTTTTGCCAACTTTTGTTTTTCTTGTTACTCTTTTTTTGGTCGTGCTGGTCTCGTACCCTAGCTATCCCCGTTTGGCTCGAGCAGAACTCGTAACAACAATGACTGTCCCAGAATACAAGCTGCGTGCGGACACTACTGACCAAATAGGGGGAAAAAAGAAGAGAGAGGAGGTGGGGTATGGGAGAAGAGCAAGGGGGTTCTATGTGGTAGTAATTTCCCCCCCTTTCTGTCTTCTCAGCCCGTACCCCTCCCTGATCAGAATTCCGTGCAGCGCGGGGCGTCGTGTCGGACGTCCAAGCGCGGCATGACGACGGACCGTATGCGTTGCGAACAGCTGTTTGCCGTTCGGATATCGTGCTCCGGGGAGGACCCGGTGGTGTAGGGGGGAGGGGGGGACCAAATTGTGCAGGTGCTGCACTGCGCCCTCCCGCCCTACAGCCCGCCCCTTCCATTGTCTGTCCTCGGCGGCCCGTCCGGCCCTGGCGGCAGTCCGGTCGCGTTCCGGACCGATTTCCCACTCCCGGGAGAGAGCAGAGAGCAGAGAGAGAGAGAGAGAGAGAGAGAGAGAGAGAGAGAGAGAAGGGGGAGCGGGGCGAGAGGGCCCGTGTGACCTTGAAGGGACAATAATCCGGAGCCACCTCTAAGCCAATCACGTGCCGGGCCGGGCCGCGTGACCCGCCGCGGTGGAGGCGGCGGCCGACTTAACAGAGGCGCGCGACCCTCGATAACATTGTGCGGGGAGGTTTGCGGACGGGAACTCCGGCCGCTGATGAGCACCGCCGAAGGGGGGAGGAGGAGGGGTCGGGGGCGCTGGGGGGCACCTCTCGTCACGGCACTGCTGGCGGTGTCACCCTGTTAGTTCACCAATAAGCGGGCCGGCTGGTGCGGTGTGGTAGGGTACACTCCCAATCAGAAAGACTGTCTCTGCTGTGCGACTAGTTAAAGGGCGGCGTCGTGAATGTTGGTGGCTTTATATTACATGTCGCTTTTTTTCCCACACCATGCCATGTGCAAGTTGTGAATCTGCGTTTGTATAATCTATTTCGAAAATACTGCAATTGGTCTCTCTGTTGCGCCGGCTTTTTCCCTCGGCCACAACGGGGTCTTTGTGGGTATAAATCGCTACCCACACCCGCACCTTGACGTATCCCTTCGCTGGACTGTAACCCCCCCCCCCCCCCCCCCCCTTTCTCTCCCTCTCTCTCCCTCGCCATTCGCCATACGCATCCGCAGAATGGAACTATAAATACTGTGTCGTGTCTGGAAAGCAGCGCGACATGGTCGGACCGACCCGGTCATAAAGGGGGTTCCGACCCCCCTGGGCCCTCCCCTTCCCCGGGCCACGCTGACTAGATTCAGTGGAGCGTCGTTTGTTTTCTCAACACATATGACAGGGCGGCTGGCCTCGACGAACTGGTGAGCAGCCGACTGGCCAAATAGGGCCGCTTATGTGATGGCCTCGCGGCTG